AATAAAATAAAACATAAAATGTTAATGTGTTAAATATTTACATTTTAAAAACAGGAATGCCATTATTCTGAGAGATGGCAATAAACAGAATTTCATGGCTTTTCAAAACTTTTTTTAAAAATGTTTAGGAGTAAGGGATTTTACTAAAATCAAAACTTTATAATTGCTGATAAAATGGTCTCATTCTAATAAATGTCTTTTTATATTCTAAGTACAAATTTTCCTTGCCCTCTTTTTGGTTCTTAAACCTCTTATCTTGGGATCAGCTTGAAATACATCCTCGCCATAGTATGTATCTCAGAAGTAAGGTTGAGATCACTCAATATAAACACCTCCCAGTAGAGTCCAGACATGAGAGAATAAAAAGTTGACCTGATTTAAAAGAAAGTTCGGTCATGTAAAAACATTTGCATAGTTTTTACGACTAGTGGCCTGGTCCTTGCTCCTTAGGAAGGCAAAAGCCTCTCATGAAAGGACTGTGGGCCTGGGCCTTTTAGAATTATTTGTTTATTAAATGCTGAAGTTATATCATTTATGGTGTATTTCTATAATTTGCTGAAAAATAAGTCATCCTTTCTTTAAGAAAATACCCAATTCTGATGATTTGCTTCCGATTGTGTTTAAAAGTCACCGTCACTGTGTGCAATCTAAACACAATGAGCAGAGACATGTATTGTACCTTTGGTGTCTGTTAGTAGTCTATCAGAAATATAGGATCTACATGACAGCTTCATGTCACGAAATACACACATCACAGTACTTGAGAACATTGAAAAAAATGAACACCTGATTCTATTCACTTAAGAATACTAATGCTACATTTGAGAGTAAGATGATTCGAATTTAAAAAATATCAGTTCAACTGTTGAACTGATGGACCTAATAGAACATTGAGACAGTATAAAATGGTAGCCCAAATGGCTCAACCTCCACTTTCCAGCTACTAAATATTACTTCTTAAATTTATAATCAAAACAGTTCTTTAAATTATAGCTTTATCTGTATGTTTTAAAGAACAAGCTTAAGACCCAAAGTTTTGAGGAGAGCAGAGGCCAAACCTCACCAAGAAAAGAAGCTACTGAGGGTGAAAGAATATATTATCAGGGAAGGAACGTTAAGTCGATCACACAAGGATTTAATGCTGTGTAAGTTAAGTTCAAAATCTCCATTAAGGTTTATATAGGATCATGTACACAACTGGAAACGAATATACTCATAACAAAATCAGAACCATACACACGTGACGTACTACTTTATACAACAGCAGCATAAACTCTCCTTAATTTCAGATAAGTATGTATTCTTCTTAAAAAACGTATTTCTTTGCTTATGCAAAGCATTACAACTTATTAAAACACTGTTTGTGCTAATAGGCATATAACATGAATAAAATACCTCTGTCAGTAAGGACCATTTGTATTCAAGTTGATACATTTGAAGTGAGGAAATCACACCTCCACTTCTTTTTTCTCTGATTTGACGAGAATGTGATTCTGTGTCCTTCGCAGGATGGTTTTATTTTGGAGGCATTATGGTGTGGAAGGCGGTTTGGGAGATGGACAGGATCCTTGACTATCAAAACTGGTTGCCCGGCCAGGTAACTGAAAGAAAATAGTTTCATAATGTATGATCTGGTTAAGAAATAAAAAATAAAGTGGGTCATTGCTGCTACCTTCCAAGAGTGAATATTCACCCACGATATGCAGGTCTCTGAAGAGTAGACAGAACTCCCCCTGCCCTTCAGGGTTCACCTTCGCAGCAAGAGGGGCACCAACACTGAAAGAGGTGCAGGCAGCGCACGAGGCACAGACGGCACGCTGAGCAAGCCTGTCTGGACCACTACTCCTGCCTCAACATTCACTACATGTGCCACGCCGGGCGCTTAGTTCTTACGGTACAAGAATGACTGGTCTACTACAGCGACGGCCAGTTGCTAGGTGAGAGCAAGGAGGCGTAAGACACAAGAGTCGGCATTCCACTTGTTTGAAGGCAGGGAGTGATTTTTATAGGGGCAATTCATGAAATAAGAGGGACTGAGTTTGGCAAACAGGAGCCATGAGTGGTGAAAAATAATTCCTCACAGTCCCTAAATATTATATATATTTAAAGAGTTTGATTACCACTGAATAAACTTGTGATTATCTAGGTTGAAGTAAGCAGATTTTCTAAAGGATGCTTTAGTCTCTGTCCCATCAACTTACCCACTTTTTGAATAACTGTTCCCTTCTTATTTAAATCTCTGCTCCAGGTAACAGAACATAATTACATGCTCATCAGTTTCCCACAAGGCAAAATCCAGGCAGTTCTTAGGTGTCTAGCCCATATGCCCATTATGTTCTGTTTCAACAATGACTGGAGGTGCAGGAGTTGGGAAAAAGAAGCTCTTTGCTGGAGAAAGTATGTCTACATAATTTTTTAGTCCTGCTTGTCCTCCGATACACCGCTGCTAGAAAAATACCTAGGATCTTCTTCTGATGCCCAAATTGTGGCTTATTCTTCCTGTATATCCTGCAATGGCTGAAAGGTGCTCACGTGCTCTGCCTGTTTCATAGCTCCCCTTCACCAGATAAATGGACAACTGTATCAAACAGTCGTGAGTAATTATAATATGCCTTGAGTCATGTAACATGCCTGTCCTTTCATTAGATAAAAGTTCTTGCTCACATTACCTCATTTATCCCTACATCATTCCTGCAAAGTCTGCCGGGATGTGTATTTCTATTTTCATTAATTATGGAGAAATAAAAACAAAGATGAGAACTAGGGCAGGGATAGCAGTTGTATAATAAGTTTAGACTTTGGACAATACACATCACCAAAATGAAACACAACCTTCCAGAGACTCGTTGAGCTATTCAGAGAACGCACCTGCTTATACTTACGAAGCTCTCTAGGGGATGGAGCCGCGTGAATGTGCATTTGTGTGTGTGTGTGTGTCTTTTGTGATTTACATTAAATGATGAAGTGAGGTACAGATTTGGAGCGTAACTGTATATACACAGATATCTAATGATGACAGTTTACCTCTGTCATCTGAGCATGAGATAGTCATCAAAGGTTCCCTGTAATGTTCCGAGTATCACAGCCAAGGTCATATTTTGTGACTATGCTGAGCATAGAACCTGGGCCCACTGACATTTAGTTAAGCAAAGAGCCTTGTGCTAGGACAAGAAGCAAAATCTGACCCATGGAGAGATGATAAAACACCATCGATTCTTAGTGAGTTGCATAAATTCCACCATGTACCACACATCCTTGTGGGAACCAGCATTACCTCTCAATTAATCAGGTCATATAATGACTCTGTGACTCTTCCGTGGCTCCAGCAATGTTTTTGGAAAGAAAACCATTTCTTCTAGTGGGTGGAATACACACTCAGTTATTGCGTAGATAGACAACTTCACAGCGAAAAATCCTGATAGAAATGGGTGTTGATACTTCTTCTGGTTCATATAACTATAAATATTAGCTGTAATCAGAGCTACCACTGTGCCATACTCTGTGTGAAGCACTTAATATTCAGCATTTTATTTAGTTTTACCCTATGCATTTACTATTTTTACAGAGTAACCAAAATGTGGAGTGGTTATAAGAACTTGTCCAAAGGGATCTCCCATATTTAAGTCATCAGCTTTTAACTCTGGCAAGCTGACACCCTCATATTTAAAAAAATTTGTGAGCACCTACTTCCTGACCAGAGAAGGGGGAGATATATACCTGCCACCTTACACAGATGAACTGTATCAGGTGGTGGCCACTTCTCCTGGGGGATTCTGGGGGAAGTTCAGGTGAGGTGGCTGTTTTCAGAAAAGAGAGACACCGAAGTTCCCAGTTAATAATAAATTTAACTCAATTTCTCCACCACCCGTTGATGGAAATTTTCAGGCTGTGCAGAGAAAATAATAGACTTGAAGTTCTAATGGGCTTACAGTCCAAAGGACTATCAAACTAGAAAGTTTAGTGGTCTTTAATCTCCAAGGCACACACAACTTTGAATACTGGATGATTAGAGTCTGTGAGACAAAAACAGAAACAATATTCATTTCTTTTTTAAAAATAGGTAAATATATAAAATGCTCAAGAAATGTTAGCAGGTAAATAACGTAAAAAGATAGTAAATGTCAATCCCAGAGTTACCTCCAGCAAGGGGTGCCAATGAGTGATTGGTTTTCGGTGATAGGCCAGCATTTCGTTCCAGTGGTCTCGCCCGAGACCCTCAGCGTCCAGTCCTGTTCTACAAATCCCGATGACCTCATTGTGTCCTACCCTGTGATTTGGAGAATATTATGCTTTTATTCCAACATTCACAGATAAATGGAATTTCACACATCTGAGTATAATTTTAAACATATGATTAGAACATTAGATTTTGGGTCAGGTTCTAAATGATTTTTCAGATTAAACTATTCCAGATCAAATGGAAAATCTTAAGTAAACAAAAACTTACTAAACAGGATCGGCGTTCACATAGGAATTTGTAAAGGGAGCACACTCAAACCATTTTAGTGCCCCGTAACTTGAGCACACATCACCATAAGAAAAGTGGTGTGAATGAGAAACGCCAGCTGGGCCTTACCTATATGATGAGTTCCTTCCTTGCAAGCAGTCCTATTAATGTTAAATGGCGTAAATCAAACCTCATGCTTTCCATGAGGCTTAATGTTTTATCATGCTTAGATTTCTCACCAAGAGCTCAGTACCCACTTGCTTATATAAATCACCATGTTTAATCGACTCTTAATGATATGGCAGCGCACATCTCTGCTTGCACCCAATTAAACAGGCAGCGCTGAGCTCAGTACCATGGCATCTGATTTGCTGCTGCGCCAGCACCACAGCATGCAAACAACATTCCTATTTTCTGCTCATGTTCTGTTTTCACAGCAACAAATCAAAATAATAATGATAGTTAATATTTTTGAGAGTTTATCATGTGCCAGACACTGTTTAAAATAACTCAAGTGTACTCAATCACTTGATTCTCACACCATGACTATGACTATTATCATCATCAACTTATTTTACAGATAAGAAGCTGACCATCCGGAAGTTAAGGGAGCTGCCTGCCTTTACACACTTAGTAAGAAATAGAGGCAGGATTTGAACCAAGACAGTTGAGTCACATGTACAGGTGGAAGGTTACTTCTCAAAAACAGAATGCAACTTACAGGTATTTCTAGAGGGTTATTTTTGACAGACATCTCTGAGGAGACTTTAGAGATGGCTTTGGGACATTTCATTTCCTTCTTCCTGTCACTGATGTAGATATGTATGTTTAGGTCATTTTCTTCAATATGAAGTTTCCTAAACTAGCATATTTTTAGAAATATTTAAAAAAAATTGTTGTGTTCTATATACTGTCAGGACCCATTTCCCTACAACTGCCTGGTGCCATTTGCTCAGCTATACCGGCTGCAATCATTGCTATGAGAAATTAATAGGAGCAATCTTTTGATAAAGCAGGACAAGGGCTTTGAATAAATACATTACATTTTTAGAGTTAGTAATTTCAACTAATTCAAGATTTCTCTCTCTCCTTCTCAACAGTAATAGCTTTTCTTGTAAACTGTGATATAAACCAATTTCAAACAGATGGTACAAATCAATATATCTTTCAGTGTCCCATTTTGCTAGCTCTGAGCCAGAGGAAAACACATTAATTTCTCTAGATTACAGGGTCCTAGTCACCATTATTTTCATGGTGTCATAAAGTGGACGCTCTTTTTGAGTGTTTGCACCTGTGTGTTCCATACCATTTGTGTTACCCTTAGAGCAGCATTAATGTTGTAAGGCACTGTCAACATACTGTAGACAATCAAGTGAGTGCAGCATATAGTATTTCTTTTATAAATATTTATATTTATAAAAGTTTATAAATATAAAAAACGAAACAACTAAGGAAGTCTGTATGTAG